TTATTAATTTCTTACAAATTTTTTTCATTTTTTTTTAAATATTTTATTTTTGTATAATATGTTCATATGATTTTTATTACTTTTTTATGGTTCTATTATGAATTAAAACATTTTATTTTGAATTAATACCTTTAAGGGTATTAAGAATAGAAAATTAATGTTTAGTCCTTTTTTTACTCCAGGGGGTCTGGGAGGTAGTAGAGGTCGTGGGAAAGACATCCATATTTTGTTTTATATGTTTATGTGTTTTTACTATTTTTATTAATTTCTTACAATTTTTATTTATTTATTTTTTATTTTTTTAATATTGTATTTTTGTATAATATGTTCGTATGATTTTTATTACTTTTTTATAGTTCTATTATGAATTAAAACATTTTATTTTGAATTAATACCTTTAAAGGTATTAAGAATAGAAAATTAATGTTTAGTCCTTTTTTTTACTCCGGGGGTCTGGGGGAGGGGTCTGGGGGAGGGGCTAAAGTAATCAGGGCTGAAACTCACTCCATTGAGTTTCAAATCCTTATGTGCCTAGTAGGTTTCGAACTCGAGTCCTCTCATTAGGCACGTTAACCTCACAACCAGCTGGGCTGGAATGCTTGGTTTAGTTGGTTATGTTTAGTCCTATTTTTGAAAGATTTATGTTTAATCCTATTTGTATAATTATGTTTCCATTTAATCTTATATAGAGCAATTACTATTCAGATCATTATAAACGGATCGCTAATAATTGAGAATATCATCAAATTTTTCATTTTAATACGTAGTATTATGATAATGATGAGAAATCTTATCAATTATTCGAAACATGAAAGATAGATGAATTATCCATCTGGGATCTCAAAAATGAAATGTATTGATACAAGATCCAAACTATGATGAAAAATCATCAATCTAGGACCCGAATAGTTGAAAACTATCAATATAAGACCTAATTTTTCATAATTGTTACGTAGTATATTTTAAAAAATCTAATAATTGTTTAGTTTTAATGAAATAGTAAACTTATGTGAAAGAAAAATTCATCAAAATGGAATCTGTAAAAATTGGATACGTTGAAACGTTTGCTAAACATAACCTCTGCTATATTTATGGTGTTATGGAGGAGTTCGCAAACTCTTTTATTATCGCTTAAACCATCTCCAACAATCACTAAATCCTTCACCAAAATTGGGGATTTGCAATTTTTTTGCTCCAATTAGCCATCAAATGTTTCACCATTTCACCAAAATGGGGGAGGGGCTTTTGTTTTACGCTATATATGGCGCATCACCATCAATGCGTCATCTTCTTTTTTTTTCTTTTTTTCTTATTTCAAAAGTCACCCCAAATTTTGATCATTATAGTTTTGACCCATTTTTAAAACAACAAATTTAAATTATAAATTTGATACAATATAATAAAGTTTAAATTACACAATATTATAAAGTTGATGCAATATAATAAAATTTAAATTATAAATTTGGATAAATTTGATTGATCATTAAAAAAATATAATAAAATTATAATCACAAAGTATTATAAATAAAGTTTCAAATTGAAACAACATAATAACAGAATACAAATGATACTTAAAAAATAACATAATTAAAGTTACAATTAATAACACCATTAAAATTAAAAACAACATTATTAAAATCATGCATAGTACATATTAATTTAGAAATTAATAGTCATTCAACCCGCTTCCAGATCCTCCAAGACCATCAAATAGATTCCCAAATCCAGCAGATGATCCTTCTTCTTGAGATTTTTTTTTTTGTAAAATTCTCGATCTTTCTGCAATGATATACGCTCGCGTTTGTGGATCGGCAATAGAATTCAAATCCATGAATATAATTTTATCTTCTCTCCTCTGTTCTTTGCATGCCATATTTTGTCGCTGGAGTTGCAATTGTTCCTGTCTATCTAACGATGATTTTTTCAACATCTCTATAAGTTGCTCATTGTCGCTCTTAACTGACTTAAGCAAAACAGTAGTGTCTTCATCATTTTTCTTCTTCAATTTGGCTTTTTTGACCCCTATTGGTCGTTTTGAAAAATCTGATCCGAAATCAGTATCAACTTCTTTGTTGAAGGAAGATGACAATCTAGGTGACGATGATATTGGAGATGGTGGATGTGAGTCTGATTGGGAAGAGTTGTAATTAACTTGTCTTTTTTGTGGAGCAGCATGCCTTGTAGTTCACACATTATCTTTAAATTTTTCAAAATTGTTAATCATATCCCAGGCATGGTCAAACTTAAAACCTTTAGAAAATTTTGTATCTTGCATAAATAAAACTTTAGCACGATCGAGCTGCAAATCATTAAAATAAAATTTGTATTACATAAAAGTAAATAAATTATTGAAAATTAAAATTATATTATACTTACAATATCTTTTTCAGAAGCACCACTTGAATTCAAATTCTCAACTTGCTTGACACATCCATTTAGCCTCCGTGCATGAGTACTTATTATATCCATTCTTGAACGAAGTGAACGTATATTACGATGCTCATAATTTTGTTCACGGTGTTCATTGTATTTAGCCTCAACTCGTGACCAAAAATCATTTGCAGATTGATATATGCCGATGATTAGGTATTGAGTTATGTCTAAATACACTTGACACAACAATGCGTCTTCCGCTATGATGTAACTAGTTGATCTTGAAGTCATTTTGAGAGTAAAGAAAAAAAGATAAAATATACTCCATCCGTCCCTTAAAACTTTGCCAACTTTCCTTTTTTGGATGTCTCACTAACTTTGCCACTTTCCCTTTTATGTAAAGAATTTGTGGTTCCAGATAATTCTCTCTCCTCTGCACTAACCTCAGCCACACAGTTTTTACTTTATTAATCCACGTGCCGGTCAAACTTGGCAAAGTTTTAAGGGAAGGAGGTAGTAGATTGTGAGATAGAGGTTTTGATGAAGTGTGATACTTCATTGCATCAGTATTTATAGAATGTAGAGATTGATAAGGAACACTTAGATTATCCGTGGGAGGGATTTCCTTATCTTCACAACCATTGGTTTCTTATCTTGTTAGATAAACGTACAAGTCACCCACAACTTACAATGTCAGACACAAGTTGATAGAGAATCATTACTAATCAATAACTAGTTCAAAACAGCTCGCAAGTTGATAGAGAATCATTACTAATTAATAACTCGTTCAAAACTGCTCACTAATTTTTTTGATGAATTCTTTGGGGTGGTTCCCGGTGGATTTTTTCGATGAAACAGACGAGTACGTTAAAATAGGTAGACTCGGATTATCAACTTTACAAAAAATAACAGTTGTATTTCGTATGTTGGCATATGGTGTGCCTGCAGATGCAACAGACGAGTACGTTAAAATAGGCGAGTCTACAACAATTGAAAGTATGAAAAGGTTTTTTCGATCTATTGTCCAAATATATGGAGAGCACTATCTAAGAAAACCTTATGACAATGACATAGCGAGACTTCTTGACATTGGAAAACAACGTGGATTTCCAGGAATTTTGGGAAGTCTTGATTGCATGCATTGAAAATGGTAAAATTGTCCAACGGCATGGGCAGGACAATATTCTGGTCATAATGGCTCACCAACTATCATCCTTGAAGTTGTGGCCGATTATGATCTTTGGATATGGCATGCATATTTCGGAACGCCAGGTAGTAATAATGATATTAATGTTTTAGAGGCATCCAATCTATTTTCAGATTTAGCACAAGGTATTGCTCCTCCCGCTCATTATATTATTCAAGGAAAAGAGTACAATGTCGGTTACTATTTAGCTGATGGTATATATCCAAAGTGGTCAACACTTGTTCAAACAATTCATCAACCACAAGGTAGAAAGAAGAAATATTTTGCCATGAGACAAGAAGCATGTAAAAAAGATGTTGAATGTGCCTTTGGAGTATTGCAATCCCGATTTGCAATTATCCCAGGACCTTCACGACATAATGAGTGCATGTATTATTATGCATAAAATGATACTCCCCCCGTCCCAATTTGTAAGATACGTTACGGTTAACGATGTTTGATCGACAATAAAGCAAATTGATTCCTATCAACACTCAAATTAGTTTTAGAAAATAAAATTTACATATTCAGAAACTACATTAAAACCGGTACGAAGTCTGCAAAAAATAATTCAAATTTCATAAACTTTTGATATATAAAGTAATAGATTAAGAGTGATTTATGTTGACCAAGTGAATAGTAAATGTATCTTACAATTTGAGACTGAGGGAGTAATAGAGAATGAACGTGATATACATGCACCAGTTGAAGATGTGAGAGATACACCAGTCCCAGATGTTGAAGTGGCAGTTGATGATGCGGGCACGGCTTACTCAATTTCTTAACCGACATAATCAAATTCACGACAAGAACACTCATATTGAGCTCCACAATGCTTTAATTGATCATTTGTGAGAACAATTCTCAAATTCTAATAACTAAACTAAGAATATTTATTTAATTTATTGCTTTAAGTTTAAGTTGTACTTTATTAATGACGTATAAATTATTATAATATTATTGTAATATTTAATTTTATGTGGTTTTACCCTGTATTTGTGAAATATTGATTATTGTATTCTACTGAGTGAAATGCGTGAAACATGCGTGAATTGTGAAATATTGATTATATATAGTACTCCGTAGTATTTTAGTTTGTATTTATGAAATAATGTGTGAAATGCCAAAATACATATTAAATGAGGGGCTAATGTACAAATATACGGCAATTACATAATTAATAATTAAATATAATAAAGGTAAAAAGTAAGTAAAAAGAATAAAACAAGAATATTATTTTTTTGGTGATAAAAATGGTGTAAACTGTACGAGATAAAATATTGTATGATACGAAGTTTACCCTTATTAGGGGGTGTTTGGATTTGATTCTTAAAACTGTTTCTGCTCTTTCAGGGAGCAGAAGCAAAAGTTGGAGTGTTTGCCTAAAAGTGTAAAAGTGATTCTGGTGCTCTAATTTACTCGTAGAATCAGTTTTTGAGAGTAGGGGATGATTCTGGTGAGCAGCTTCTCAAACTGATTCCGAGAGTGCTTATGCTTTAAACACTTCCTTACTACGTAGTAGAGCAGTACTACTATTTATGTTTTCCGATCAGTGAGATGAAATAGCAGGGGACACCATTTTATTAAACCTCTGTAGAATGGGAGTAGGGTTTCCAATCGAAATGCCGTCATCCCTGCAATCCTTGCCCCATGAGCTTAAGATTGAAATCCTTAAGAGATTACCAGCAAAATCTCTGATTTGTTTAAGTGCTGTGAGTAAACCATGGCTCTCTTTCCTCACAAGTTCTGAATTCGTCTCTGCCCACCTGTGCGAAGGAGCTACCAAACAGTTCTTCTTTGCAACTACAACCAATAGCAACGGTCGTTTCGCTCTAGTCAAACATGCCGACAAAGTCGAAGGTGATCTCACGGTACAATTAGGACCAATCATCATACCCCATCAGCGATTCCAAAATAGGTTTTCAGTATCTTTACATCATTGCGTTGAGGATGGTATTGAAATCGTGGGCAGCTTTGATGGAATGCTTTGCTTAACCTTTACCCATCCAGATTTTCACCAGTCAATAATATTATGGAATCCTTCCATTCGAAGGCATGTGTTGTTACCTCCTCCCTCCATTCACACTCCAAGGAAAGGTGATAATGGAATTGGATTTTGTGTTGCCAGCGACGGTGACTATAGGGTTGTGTGGGTCCATGAGAAGCATGAGGATAGTGCTATGTCTGTTGAAATCTACTCTCTCAATTCGGGAAAATGGAGGATTAGAAGATTCACTCATGATTTGTTTCCTACGAGGTGGTTGTTTAGTGGTCAGGCTTTTGTAGGTGGTAAGATGCACTGGATTGGATGTGAGTACGACGAGTGTTGGATTGGATCTGAATATGAAGACCAAATGTGCGATGCTCGTGATATTTGTTCAGTCACTTCATTTGACATAGACGAAGAGGTATTTAGAGACGTACCACTCCCAAATATATTAAAAGGGTTTGACTTGCAGGCAAGATTATGTATTGCTGTGGTTGGGGAATCACTAGGTATAATTGATTGTGATCAAGGTTTTTATGACATTTGGGTGATGCAAGATTATGGAAATGTTGACTCTTGGGCTAGGCTATATGTCATTGATATTCGAGATTATAATAAAAGGTTACCCTTAGTAGTTGCATTAAACACTTGGAAGAATCCAGGAGTTTCTGCAGGTGCACACCAATGGTTCTCATTCATGGATCATGAGCCTTTTTTGGTGTACGGGGAATATGGTGATGATACATTTGAGTATGTAGCTAAGTATGTGGAAAGCCTTGTTTTGCTCGGACACAAAGATGCTGTTGCCGATGTGCATTTGCCTCAGGCTATTGCAGGTGCAAAATATTGTCATTTAGATTTTCATGTTTGCTGAAATCCAAGACTTGTCAATCCAACATAATAGAAATGCAATCTGACTTTAGTGCATCACTTCTTCTTATTTTTGTCATAGTTACCGGGCGCATGGCGGAGGATAATGCAGGTCATGGACAAGAGATCTAGGCAGGGGTTCACAATCTTCCCTTGTCCCAATGGTACTCTTTTTTTAGAAAAGTCGCCACATACTAAGTAACAATACAAAATACCATTTTTATCACTATAAAAGTTAACATCATTACATCAAATGCTTCTTATATATTTCAATGTCATATAGCATTTACTTTGAAAAAATTAATAAAGGAATGCTAATTTTATACAAAATTTAGAATAAAATTGTAGCCTGTACCCCACTTTTTATTGAAAGTTGAGTTTGCCCCCTGTCTTGAGAATCATTTTATTTACACCCTAAAACTAAAATTTACCTCACACTTTTTCTTTGTATTCAGAGATTGTGCCCTGTCTCCCTATTTTAGCAGCTGTACTGAATTTAGAGGTGCAAAAATTAATATTGTTTTGAACATGGGGTGCAAACTCAAATTTGGATGGGAAAATGGTGTCCAACTTCCAAGTCTACGTCTTCTAACGCTTTGGTTGACAGTGGTAGTATTAATGATCACAGAAGTTGTGGATGTGTTATCCTATCTCATACAGTTTAATGGGAATTTATGCCTTTGAAATGAATGATTACCTTTGCCACATAATTTGTTTCTTTCTTATTCTGCTTAAATGCTTCAGAATAAATCTTTGGGGTACTTTTATCCCACAACACAAACTTGTTGAATTGCAATGCCTTTTGTTGATATCTATTTTTTTCTTAGCCTTGATGTAGCTTTAATTTGTGTGTGTCTGTGGATGATCATTTTTACTCTGTATCTTTTTCTTGAAATTAAAAATATTAAACCAAGGCCTTTGGTCTGTAGTACTTTGATCCGTGTGTTATGTTAGAATTCCTATATTTTCCTATACATCAGACGTAAACATAATGAGATATTCAGAGAAAAAATTGTGAAATATCGCAATAGGGTACGTTAGTTCATCATGTCTCTAGAATGTAGAATAAAGCTTTTCCTGTGATAAGCACTGGTAATCTTTGATAGTCCATCCTGTGGTGTCAATACTGCATGCATTTTACTGATATCATATGATGTTTCTTATGAAGTCATACTATTAAGCTTAAGAGTCCGTTTGGTAACACTAAAATTGGCTGAATCAGCTAGTTCTGCTGAAATTAATTAAATTTTGGCTGATGTGGTTACGTTAGCTGATCCTGCTGATTTATGAAAGATTTATATTTAGAATATTTTTTATTAATTAAATAAAGAAAAAGATATATGAAAATATAGCTAAAATGATATCTATAGTAACTTCAGCCAATATAGTTAGAAAAGTAACTCGAACCTTGCTTTTTCTTATTATTATACAATTCAGAGCGCGAAATCAAAAGTTACGTGTTTGGTGAAAAAGTTGGTCGATAAGCATGGTTACTATCAAACGGGCTCTAAATAGATGTGTTTACAGAGTTACTTAAGAATTGGCTGTCAATTTTGCATTTTTTTGGGTTACTATTATTTTTAATGTTTTTTATTGTACTTTAAGCATTTTCAGGACTTTCTGGAGGCAGATGCAGTATAAAAATGTAATTGAACTAGGGGTGATACTGACATGATGTAGTTTTCAAAGCTGTTTCCTTCTCTGTATTTTCAAAGATGTTTGCTTGGGATTCCAAAGCTGTTTTCTTCATTCCAGTTGCCAAGAACCTGTTTTGTTTTTTTGCAACAATGGGGATCAGTGTACTTCTACCTGATATTTGGTGTTATCAGGAGGTTCCGCTAATTTTACTTTGTACTGCATGGATGTAGTGAAGCTACTTGAAGTTGCAATTAGTGGTACTTTAAACAGCCATACTTTGTTTTGAAAATGACATCAAAATGATTGAAATGCACACTTTCTATTGTTCAAATATCACTGTTTTGCTAAGGATGGGAATATGTTTTGATTCAACATTTTTCGGGACAGATGAAGCCACACATTTGCAAACGTATTATGGAGTAGTACACTTCCTGGCAATGGCTTTGAGTGGTGAAATGAACCTCCTTGTTTGAAGGTGGCATAGTGATTATTCCAAGTATGACTATACAAGGCTTAACTAATCGACTCTTGTTTGTTATTAAAAATTGGTGGAAATTTCAATTGTATGAGAGTATTTGCTCGCCCTCTCTTGGGGTTTACCGTTTAGATGTACACAACACTCCTATTACATAGAAGGAGATTTGAAAATGACTAGCGGTCACCAAAGTATCAAGCAAATTGTGAGAGTGCTCGCCAGCTCGGTGGGTTTACATCTTTCATCTTGATCAAACTTGACTTTCTTGATCAAAGGTATTAAAGTTAGACTATTAATTCTAAACGTATTAATTAAACACATTAGCCAAAGTTCAAATGCTTTGACTAAAAGATCAAACTAGATGAAACTTTTGTACGAGAGATATAGTATACACGTGTGAAGTCGTAGAACGCAAATTATATTGTGGGATCGGTGCATGTTCAGCATGGTATTGTCACCCAAAATTGATATAAAATTATTAAAAAGATGTATTTTGTTCTCCTGATTCTTCTTCTATCAGCTTGGGACCATTGACGCTCATGGGAGAGTTGCCCATGGCAAGTGCCTAGGGCTTCCATATTTTTTGGTCCCTCCAATTTTCTTAATAATGCTATTAATATGTATGTATTGTGTTTAATGTTTTAATTAAAATATGTGATGGGATATTAGGGTCCGGCTCAATATACCGGTCCAAGATATCCCTAAGGCCCAAAAAACAAGGGGAAACTCTTGGACCTCGAATGGGATCCAGGCAACCAAGGAAGGCACCCGGTCGGCACATCCCGAACGGGTTGTAATCGACACTTGGATTACAGAATCATCTCAAGCTTATGACTTGATGACTCGTAATGCTGATCGGCGAGTCGCACAAGTGGCAGACTGCATTTAATGCTAGAGTATGGGATCTCAAGTGGGAGCATGAGTGCATCAAGTGGTATGGAGAGCAATCAATCATATTAGAACACCCTATACCTCTCACCTAACACCATCTAGTATAAATAGCAACATTTATTTCATTAGAAAGGGTTAACATTTGTTTACTCACTATCTCTATAAGCATCTTAGCTCTTGTATTAGCTTTTGAACCGCAACTACCGTCCGGCCATTTCCTTGTAATTGTACTCACTACCTTAATACAAGCAGAGCTACTTGAATTTATCAATCAGTTTTTATATATCTTTTATACACTCGTTGATGGAGTATATGGCCCAGGGACCCCCGACCCACATACTTCCTCTACTACAATCAGGCCCAACAGGCCCAAACGGGCCAAGCCTAGAAAAATGGAGCTCTAAGCAGCCCACAATACGCAAAGGGGTGCCTTCGGCCCCATGGTCGAAGGCTACCAGTGACGGAATCAAGCTCAAAAACATCATAAGAGAACAAGGCTTGAAAACCAAGCCTTCGGCAACTGCAGCCCTCGGCAGGTAGGAGCCCTCGGTTAGAAGAGGCATCATAGGAGATCAAGGCTTGAAAACCAAGCCTTCGGCACCTGCAGCCCTCGACAGGTTGGAGCACTCGGTTAGAAGAGGCATCACAGAAGAACAAGGCTTGAAAACCAAGCCTTCGGCACCTACAGCCCTCGGCAGGTAGGAGCCCTCGATTAGAAGAGCCTTCGGCCCAGCACCCTTCAGCCGAAGGCATCCACCTCGACAGAATATCCTCTTCACATGCGCCTGGATCACCGTACCAAGTACAAACGTCACATCCAACCACCGCATTTAATGCGGCCACATGCGAGTGCCAGTGCCATCCCGATTGAGGTGACCCCTCGACCACCAGAAAACTGACACATGTCCTTATCTGACATTTATTACTACTATAAATAGCACCCCTTTCCCCCATTGTAAACCACGCTTAATACATATCGAATATACACTCTCTCTCTTACTTGTTTGCTCTGACTTCTCTCTAGTTATTCTCCGCAATAACCCCTCGGATAAGCTACCCCCGGGTACACTATCCATCATTTGGTACTCTCGTTGAGAGGTCGAACAATCAAGTAAGAAACCCTCCCCCTCGACCAAACACAAAACACCTAGCTAAAATGGTGAGAACAACTCGGGCCAACTCCAAGAATGTAGAGGACAGGAACCTGGCCCTCGGCGAGGTCGACGTCCCCGAAGCCTCCAACAGGGCTCCTGGGGGCGGCGTCATCGCCGGGTTGGACCAGACGGCTGTCGACCTACGCCATCAAATTCAACAGAATGCCCCTGATGCCCGCCTCGGCATCGAGGCGAAGAAGAAGGACCGGAGCGAGAATCAAATTAGCCCTCTGGTCATCACAATCGACGTACAATCGGCGCTCTCCGCCTTCATCCAGACGCTCACCCAGAACCCGGGTGCCTTCGGCACTTTGGTTCCCCTCCAACCTCAGGTCGGGGAGAATATTATGCCTCCCCCTCATCCACACCCCCTCGGGAACCCGGCCCTCCGGATTGGGAACTCCGAGGGGGTCGTGGCCCAAGATACGGCCTCCCAGGAAGTCCAATCCCGGGACCACCACAACGTAAACAAAGAACAACTCCGGACCTCCGCCCTCGAGAGACTCGGAGGGGCGCAAGATCGCCGAGGGGTCCAAGACCGCCTCGGGGGGAAGGCATTCCAGAGGCCTCAAGAAAGTGGCAGATCCGTCTCTAGGGCCAATGAAAGGCGTCCCCCTCAGGACAAAGGCAAGGCACCTCTCCATGTCAACGACGCGCGCCATCAAATCAACCAGGCCCACTCGGCCCGCGTCCATTCGCAGGGGGCGGAGGCCCTCCCGAAGGACCCCCGGGACGAAATCATTGCGGCCCTCCAGCGCCGGCTCGACGAGATGGAGGCCACTAAAGCACACGCCACCACTTCTGCCCCTCATACAGACCTCAAGTATGAGGCAATGTTGGCCAAAATGGAGGAGATGCAAAGGAAATTTGCCGAAGGCTCCGGGGAACCCGTCATCCAACTCTGAACTAGGACGCCATTTACCCCAAGGGTATTGGCGGCCCAAATCCCGGAAAAGTATCGAGGGCAACTCATCAAGCCCTATGAAGGAAAAACTGACCCCCAGGAGCACTACAACAGGTATCAAAACAACATGATGATGATGGGGGCATCAGATGAATACTTATGTCGTTGGTTCCTTTCCACCTTGGAGGGACCAGCATACGAATGGTTCAACCGATTGCCCGAGGGCAGCATTGACTCTTGGCAAGATCTTGCCCAACGCTTCCTCACCCATTTTGCCGGAAGGAAGCACGCGAGAAAGCACTTCTCCCACCTCCTCTCCATCAAGCAACAGCCTGACGAAACACTTCGGTCCTTCATTGACCGGTGGATGAAGGAGACGGACGAGGTCGAGGGCGCCGACGAGCGTACCCTCCTCGTCCTCTTCCAGGGGGTTCTCCGCAGCAGCCCCTACGCACGGAGCCTCATCACAGACCCCCCAAGATCATACCTCAAAGCACTCTTGCGGGGGAGCCTATACGCCGACGTCGACGACCTCCACTCCTTCAAGAAGAACGAGGGCCAGCCCTCGAAGAAGACAAACAACACGCCGGCCCCAAATGCGCCCTCGGCCGGAGGCCGAGACCATGGAAGCCACACCCAGCAGGGCCGTAACGAACGCCAGTGGCGCCCTCGGCTGGACATGCCGAGGACTCCCCTCACGCACCCGGTGAGCACCATCCTCAACTATGCGGAAGAGCAGGACCTTTTCCCCAAGGACCCTCGGTCGGCGAGGGAGATCTACGCCATCCACCAAGGCGGCACTTATTACCGTTACCACAAAAGCACCTCCCACAATACAGATGATTATGTCTCGTTAAAGAAGGCTATTGAACTCTTAATTCAACGGGGTGAGCTCCACCAATTCATAAAAAATGCCCCAAGGAAAAACACCGGGGAGAACACCGATAAAGAAGAAGGGGACATCGCAATGAAGAAACATGAAATCGGGAGGCTCAGCGACGGCGAGGAGTTCGAGGAGCCCCAACCGAAGAAGCGCCGCCTCCGCTAATCATGTTCCTCGCCTTCGGCGTTAGTCTCAGCCATGGTCCCTCGACCTCGAGGCACATTATCATCCCCTCGGTCTAGAGCCCTCGGTCTTGAGCGGTGAATCTTAACAAAGCCGTTGTCAAACAACGCACCCCTTGTATTCCGCTTATTTCTATGAATTTAAGTAAACTACAACACAATCTAGACATCTTATCGGCCCCTTCGAGGCCAAATGCCCAGGTATGGCCGATGGTGTCTAAAGACGAGGGGCCTGCAAAAGGCCCGCGTTTTTGGAGCGGGACGCTCGCCGCGTCGCCGGCGCACAACGCACGACGACAAGCCTGAAAGAATGGCTGAGGTGACGAAATCCCCAAACTTGGGGGTGAAACGGCAGTCGTCGGAAACCGACCAAGCCTAGCCCGCGCCGTAAATAGACGACGGGAACCCCCAAGGTCAAGGGACGGTTCAGCGCCGGGGGACTAACAGACGAACCCCCGGACGGATCACTTGAACCCCCTTCCGGCCGAGGCGGGGAAGCAACCCCCTCGGCCGAAGCCTGAAAGAAGGAACACACATCAGGAGGACTAACATACGACCTCCTAGAACAATCAAGGGACGGCCCAGCGCCGGGGGACTAACAGACGAACCCCCGGACGGATCACTTGGACCCCCTTTCGGCCGAGGCGAGGAATCAACCCCCTCGGTCGATGCCTGAAAGAAAGAACATACACCCGAAGGACTCCCGGAACTATCAAGGAAAGGCCCTCGACCTCAATTCGATTCTACATCACCAATGGCCCTCGGCCTTGGCATGATTCAACGTCACAACAGCCCTCGGTCTCAAAATCAACAATGGCCCTCGGCCTCAACAT